GGTCGTAGTTTGGCAAAGAATGCGATAGTAAAGTATTCTGGTCTGGTTCTATCAAGAAACTGAAGCCGGAGCAAGAGGAATGTTTAACAAATGTAATCGCTGCAAAGATTGTGGCGCTACTCCCCACGGGCTCCGTTAGCGGCAAAGGAGATGGCTAAAGCTAGGCTAAAGGCTAACGACTCACTCAGGCTCATTACATACGTCACGGTAAACTCAGATCCAATCGTTCCAATCTGCAAAAGTAGTTAGCCCCTCCCACCTGTTAACGGAGTCAATGGAGCAAATGTAATTAGTACTATGGTGTGGTACGAGCAGGCTAGTTCCATGACGACATCGCACTAGAATAAAACGTTACTACTCAAAACTGTAAATAGATAAAACTGTATTACGTTTATTTTCTGAGGCCACGTCACATTTCTCTGGTTTGGTTTCGGTTTCATTAAATCCTACTCTTTTCCGGTTGTTAAAGTCTAGAGTCGTAAAAATGGTTGTCATGACGCCTTGCCGAGTTTGTGTTATTCCAGAGTTGGTTTGGCTGAGCTGAGTTGGCGTTTTTAATCAATTTCTTCGTAATTTTTGGCTGTTTTTTATTGACACATTTCACACTGACAATTCCTTCTTGTTCTTTTTAGCCGCCGGTTGGTTTGACGGTTTGTTTTAAAACACCGTAAGACGTAGCTTTGTCCTGATAGAAGCAAAAAGACTCATTTTTGACGATAACTTTTCAACTTTTTGGGTCTTTGTCCGAAACATTATGAAACCAGAAGAGGAAGTGGAAACACAAAAGGCTCTGAGTGAAAACCAGGACTAGTGAAAAACCCGTCTCACTTCAAGCTTCTGTAGTTTATGAAGAAATGTTGTGTTTATTGATCCGTCCGTTTTGGTTCTAAGTTTTTCCATTTCCGGGGTTAAAAAGTGCAAACGAAGCCAGACTCTGCAGCGATCCCCAAATCCAATGAGACATGTTGCTCACAGCGGGAAGTAAATTGGAAAAATCCTGCGAAGAGCCTGGTTTTGGAGAGCGGCAGATGGAAGCGCGACGGTTCAGCGGCAAATTTACTCTTTCGCAGTTTGGGCAAAAAAGACGGAGAAAAATGGTTTAAAAGAGTCGCTGAAGGATGTGATATTTTAGAATTCATGGGAGTTTTGACTCATGGTTTTTCATGAATTCATTCAAGTATTGCTAACCTGCGTAAGACGGAAAAATAGAATAAATGAACCAGAATAGTTGCCTGAAGGGAATTAGGAAGAAGAAACTGTACTTAATCCTACCCCGTAATAAACATTATTATTAATAAATTAGCTTCTCGGTCACACACGGCTAACAACAACTTTGGACTCATTTCATATCAACACAGAAAGTGGTTTTATCTGTGTTTAATTGCGTTTTAATTCTGAATTATAAAAAGCAGGTTTCCAAAGTAAGTTTTTCTCAATATTTCACTGCGATGTTTGTTTTTGAACTATTTTGACACTTTTACTGTGACAGAAATACCTCTTTAAGTTCAAAGTTAGTCACATCCATTCCATTATGTTACATTATGTTTCTGTTTTTACATCGCTAACAAAAAGAGGGATCACGATATCAAAAACATAAATCTGTAAAATGTGAACAAAGAATGAAAAAAGACAAAAAATTAATGAAAGTCAATCACTTTTCAACTGGTGAAGATGAAGAGAGGTTTTTTTTAAATGCGTCAGTTAGACCCGCCCCCACAGCTTCCTGATTGGACGCACTGAATTCAAATCCTTGATAGACAGCTGAGGCCTTTCCCCATTGGTCGAAATGTTCCGGGTGATTCTTAATCCAAGAGGAGAGACATATCTTTTATAGAAAATACTGAGCAGAGAGGATACTTTTGGGTCGTTCAGTCAAAATATGAAAATGAAAGAAATTGAAAGACATCACCTTTAAGTTTGGTTTAATAATTTATTCAAGCCACAAACCCAGAGTAATATCCAAGCGTGTGTTTGTGATTCAAATCTGTGACAAAAGACACTGTTGCTGATAAAAAATACGATAATAAGTATTT